TTTTTTTTTTTTTTTGTGTTTTCAAGAATATTTAGTATAATGAATATCTTTTCTTCTATTTATTGTTCGACTATGCAAATCAGTAATAAACTTAATAAAAGTTCCTCTAGTTGTCTGCGTTATTCGTTTTTAATATCGCGTACCAACCAGAAAACAAAAATTCTAATGTAAAATCAAAAATACCTATTTAAACTTTCGACTGCGTGCAAATTCTCCCTAAATATTTCGACGAAATCTTAAAACGAAAGAGACGCTCGTTTTCGACTTCTCGATTGCCCTAGCTATTAATCAAAATTGCTCTGTTTCCCGTCGATTGGCTACAAACTATCGGTAGTTCGGGCAATATTTTCCAAGAGAGATCGTGCCAAGGGGGATTCGCCTGTATCCATTGGAGGATCCTCGATTTATTTGTTATCCTCGAACGATTTGTTTGCACACTAACCGTCGAGTTGGCGTGCTCGAAATCCTGTTCGAGCTCTCCGCTCGTCGACGAGGTCGCATTCTTGTTCGTCACGGTCACGTTGTGCATCTTCTCCTCCTCTGGCTGCTGTAGCTCCGTCACTGTATCGTTTCCGCTCGGTTCCGGTAACAGGGTCGTTGATTCCGTAGTCGTAGTCGTAGTCGTCGTCGTCGTCGTCGTCGTCGTCGTCGTCGTCGTAGTCGTGGTGCTCGTCGTATCGTCCATCGACGACAGATCCTCGATAACGTTGATCGTCGTCGACTCACCGACGCTGTTCGTTGAGAAGATTGTCGACGAGTCGTTCGAGAGATCGTCGTCTCTGATGGACAGGGTCGATTCCACTGTGAACGAGTCGACACTCGTCGTTGACTGCAAAATGATGCATTATCGATTCTTAGAGTGTTTAATGTTTAACGTTTGATATACCAGTCCGATTTATTTAATGTTTAATTTTAGAGATACGTATTATCTAATTTCATTTATTTAATATCGAAGATGCTATTTATTCACTCGATATTTAATTTCAACACTGAAACTATCAATTAAAATGAATAATTGATCTAGAGATATACAGAGAACGATAAACGAAAATAAACTTTCTACTACAAAGCTCATCTTGTGAAAATAATATTTTGTAAAACAACATTCTGGATACAAAGGGGGTTGATCAATGTAATTGTTTAGAAATTCTTAAGTGATTTAAAGAGTCATTTAATGTTGACACTAATAAGAACTAATAAGTAATTGAAATTAATAATTAATAATTAATTAATGCAGAGAAATATTATACATTTACAAGAGAATTTTTTTCGATAAAAATTGTTGGCTCTAAAAATTTTAAATGAATATATATAAAAACCACAGAAGTAAGAAGATGATCGAAAAATTATAACAAGCAAGAAATGAGAAAATGAGAGAACTAAAAAAAGAATTCAATTTCCAAACATCGGTTTTTAATATTTGTATACTTCGTATAAGAACTTCTGCTATTGATATATAATGTTAAAAAATATATCTAAAAGAGAAGAATTCCTACGTGGACATAGAAATTGAAAATACCTCTTCGACAGTGGCAGAAGTAGTGGTGGCGATTTCCGGGCTGGACTTCACGTAGTCAACGGTCTCGAGTATCTCGTTGTCCATAATATCGGTCTCGAAAGTAGCGGGCCAGGATGTGGAATCAGTCACGATAGAAGAAGGTTCGTCCACGGGTTCCTTCGTACTTGAATCGATTCGTTCCTCGACCACTCGGTGACCCCGTCCCTCAACCGGAGGATTTGTTATTTGATCGACTGCCGGCTGCGTGGAATATTATTCGTCACTGTTACTTTCATTCGTACATGCTTACATAGTAAATGGACAACAATTGAAAAAAACTAAAGAGAAAGAATATTTCCTATTTTATGTGCATGTGGAAACAGTTTTCACTGGTATCACTGGATATTCAAAGTAATAGAATTTCTACGTAATGTTGCTTAATTCTGGAATTTTTGATTTAACGTAATCTTATTCTCTATCGGGAAAAAATTAAATCAAATTAAATTGAACGAGTTAAATTGTTTTTAACATGATACATGATCTTGATCGTTGAAGTAAAGCGACATGAATGGCGAATTAATTGGAAACGGTTAGTAATAGAGTTATCGAGCCATCGAATTATTCGGTTGTTGAGTTATTAAGTGATCAAATTCTCGAGTTCATGAGTTATTGAGATATTGAGAGTCGTTGAAATGTAATGGTTCGCGTTATGCGAACATTGTATCATCCAACGTATTAATAAATCATGGATCATTTTGATGAAGAGAATTACATTTGATGAGAGTTAGATTATTTATCTGTAATTCTTAGAGAATGAACGTTAAAGCTAGTAAAAATAAACGATGAATTTGATTTCTCCTGAAGAAATGAGAAATAAAATTTTCTTTGGAAAAAATTTTCTTAGATGATACAAGTTAGAAATAATATTAGACTATGAATTAGAAATTAAAATGAAGAATTATTGCATTAAATGCTAATAGACTATGAATAGTTTATGCATTTATGGGGAATTTAAATAGAATATATAATAACATACGATGCGAAAAAAATACTAAAAAAATGATTGAACAAAAAATAAGTATACAAATCTACAATGTACAAAATAGATAACATGTACTGTAAATAAATGAATGTCATATAAACATCTACAATTTACTTATTAACCCTTTATAATTTCGTTATTAGAACCACGAATATATGAAGACTAAGAAAGGAATAATTTAAAAAATGTTTATAAAAATACAATCCACTTGTGAATCTCTTGCAACTTCGTTATTATTAATTATTGTTTAAAATCTGGAAACTAATTATCATTACTAAATAATAATTAATTAATATCCTTCTGATGATAAATTGACAAAATACACAGTGAAGATCTAGAATCAACTCACAGATGTGAGAAAGAGATTCCTAAAATTCCACGAAAAATATCATATCCAGTCCGCTCTCGAGCTCTCGTCAGAATTAACAAGCAGACACGAGTGTCGGCATCGAAAATGTGGGAAATAACAACAATGATATCAATATCAGTATGTGCAGTTTATCTTGGCCGGACGTTGTCTGATAGATCGCGCGGGATCCCAATTTCATCTGTCTTTCGTCCATCGTCATAAAAGTACGTGGCCTCGGGCTCGGCTCGTGATTTACAAGTCGGACGGAATTTAATTAATGCAATCCTGCCGCGAATAGATGTCAGTTAAACATTTAACTTAGTTAGTTAGTGATGCATTCCTCGTCGGGGAGATCCGGCGAGTGCTTCTCTTCGGCGAATCCGACCTGTTCGCGTATTTGTTGCCTCTCGTGCTGGCTCTCCCCTCGCCCTCCCCCCTCCTTCGAAACAATTATACGATCATTTGTCTCGGCGATTTTGTCGCTTTAAACGTTCGACGCTTTGGTAACTGGCCGCGAAACGGAAGATAGATTAGCGTTTCAGCTTCTTGCGCTTTCGCTCCTCGAGCGTTCGTAATTAAAAGGATATCACGGCGGCAAGCCGTGATATTAAAACGCGCGCTGAAATATCCCAGACCGGGGGGAGAGGGAGGGGGGTTTTGCCCGGATGACGGAAAGAAGGAAATTGTTTGAGGAAATGGTCGTTTCACGTCGAGTGATCTTCCCGTGACGATGTTTAGAATCTCTTTAGAACGATAATTTTTAAAATAAACAGGCTAAGTATCTGTCCGGTGATTGTTCAAGATTGTTTAAAACTGTGAAAACGCAGTGTTTTAATTAATTTATCATTGTTGTCAATAGATGGCGGATTTTTATGCGGATTTACGGGAAGTTTGGACTAAAATATTCGAGAGTATTCGTTATATCAAATTTAAGTTCCACTTGTTTAATGTATAAAACGAATAAAAGCCCGCAGTTTAATTATAAAATTCTATTTTATTGTATTTGAATGCACGAGCAAATGAATAAGACAGATCTCTATCTCAATTGTACCCACTGAAAATATAAAATTCATTCGTCTGTGTCATGTCCTTGCGAGGAAAGTGTGATTTTCGAGTTGTCATTATGAAGATTTTACAAAGTCAATTAATTACAATAAGTTCTTGACTAATTTCGAAAATCTCGTTCATTGGTATTCAAAATTTAACCGGTATTATTAAGGACTTATGTTAATTCATGTGACACTGTGCTGTATTCTATAATCTTTTTTCACTATCACTTTGAACAAATGCATATTCATAACGTGAAAGATTACTACTTCGACTCAAGCTTTTTTTAATTAACAAAATAACATGCAACCCTGTAAGAAATCAATATTTTGCTTCTTCTGAATAAGTCACTTGTCCGATTTGCGTGTACGTACTTTCTTCGCAAGGATGCGGAAATTAAATTCATAGAAAGGTAAAATTATAAACAGAATTAAATAGATAGATAGATAAAATTATTAAATGGATTATATTACTATATTATATTAGTAATAATAAATTAAATAGATGGATAGATAAAAGGTAGAATTGAATTCTTAGAAAGATAAAAAAAAAAAAATAGTAAAAGAAAAAATATATATATATAGGAAATAAATGAAGAACGTACGAAGAAATTGGTCTCCTTGCGAAACTTGGCGTAGTCCTTGCTGATGAACGCGTACGAGGCGTAGTTCTGGGTGGCCTTAACCTCGATGCTACCGCCTTGAACGTTTAATCTGTCAGTTTCTTATGGCATTCGGGCTAGAACACCTAGGTGGTAATCAGGGTTGTGAAAGAGCACAGGGTTTTTGCTAAGCGCCCCGCCCGGCTTGTGTGTTTCCGTCTTTTCTTTCCCGACTCCTCTAACAAGCAGCACGGAAGGAAATTGGAACGATCGTTCGCCTCCTTCGCTCCCGGAAGCTGCTGCCTAAAGTCAAGTCGTTCACGAAGTTACGAGATTTTCTTTTCCCTCCCTCCCTCCTCCTCCTCCCCCTCAGTAATAAGATCTTTTCCTGTCTTCTTTCCTGCAGTTTATCGACGACAAACATTGACTTTCTTTTTAATTTCATCAAGAATGTGTTTCAACTTCGGGAAGTTGAAACTTTTATTTCGTTAAGGTCTGGTGATAAATAATTTTTGCAGCAAAATCGTTGGTGATTGAAATTGTTAAATTTTGAAAAATGTTACCATCGTAATTTCCTTCTTCTTTTTTTTTTTTTTTTTTTGTTTTTTCTGAAACGAGAAATTGAAATTAATTTGTTGGAAAATGGACTTTAAACAAAACATGTTAACAATTTCATTTCAATAAATTAATATTGACATTGATGGTATTTGATAATTAAGTGAACAATATTATTTGAAATAATATTTTGAAACGAAAAATTAATATAAATCTCAATGAGAAATGGTTTTTAATAAAATTTTGTTTCTATAATCTTGATCCAAGTCTTCGTGGGTCCAAATTTTTCCCTGCCGAACAATTGAATTTTAAGGAACATCGCCAAATTGTTTTTATTATTATCAAATTGTTTTATTTGAAACGAAAAATTAATTTCACGGAAACGGAATTTCAATGAAACTCTATTTCCATAGATTTGACCCAAATTTCAACAGTGAGCATCCCACAGTTCGATAATCAAATTTCAAGGAACATTATTCTCGCGATTTTTCCAAGTCGCGACGAAAAATTAAAATCGTGGTAAAAATTCCAATCTTTCCGAGAAGCACCGAAATCACCGAGGATATTATCCTTTTCACGGAATCCGGATACTCAACCGAGCATTCAAATTTAATGATTTTCCACGCGATATTCCAACGTTTCCTCCGCGAATTTCCTAATTCAATCCTACTTTCGCCATTTCGCGACGTTTTCAAGCTGACGAGATTAATTTCGACCGGTGGAGAGGGGGGGGGGGTGTCCCGTGAAAAATGCTAAAATTATAATAACACGATTTGCTCGTGCAACTTCCTTTGAAGAGTAAGCGAGAAATTAAAATATGTCGCCTTTGGTAGAGAGAAAAAAGAAATAAAAAAAACCCTGCATCCGAATTCATTCAATTCCTGATCAATTCGATTGAACGTGAAAGCAATACGAGAAGTAGCTGGGAAAAGTTTAAAGCTTTTCATATTCCCATTCAGTGACCTGTTAGCCGTTCCGCATTCTCATTCAGTAACTCGATTCGAAACTTATTCGTCCGTAGCCCAGGTTTCCTGCTAAAAAATTCATTCAACGCCTCCAGAGAAATTCTCCAACTTCAACTTCAATATCTTCGTGGTAACAAACCATCAATTTCATACTCCATCTTCGCATCCTACGAAAACTAACTTCACCCCATGAATTCTCTAGTACCAATTTCAATAACTAACCCCTGCCAGTCGATCGAGATTCTGACTCGCAATTACGTATCTTATTTCATTCTTATTTGTTGTACATTTTATTACGTGTACGTATACTTATTTTGTAAATCTTTCCGATGTTAAATTCTGGACAGGTCGTTTCAACGATAATTCGTCGTTTAAAATCAGTAATATTTTGATCAGTGGGATTGTCCTTTTGGTGTTTTTAATTTTTACAGAACACGCAAGACCTCTCAAATATTAGCTTCAAAACAGTAATTCAATGATAGAAAGTAAACTAGAAGAATTATGAAAGTGAAGAATGTGTTGAACGTAGCGAAATTTTGATTTTTTTATAAATTTAAGATAAAAAGAATTCAATTATATAATAATAAACTTTATAAATATAGGACCTTCAAATAAAAATAAATTCCCAAATGTACTCTTCACCTTTGTCTCGATACACTCTCTAGAATAAATCTATTTTCTTAAATATGTAAAAAAAAAAGAAAAACTACGCACGGATTAAAAAAAAGGAAAATAAATAAAATTATAACACTACTAAGTAATAATAAATGTTATATCTAAAGATCATCTCCGAACCAAATACATTGATAATAAAAATTACCGAAACCGAAAACCTTCTCTAAATCGTATTATTTTCAAAATAATAGATTTCAACTTCATTAACGTCAAAGTAATTCAAGATACACGATTTATATCGAATCGTTATCGACGACGAAATCAGTAAGAAACGTAATTGATCGAGGAACAGGTTTCACGGTAAGAGTAATCGGCCACGGAACCGGAAAACACAATCCGGGCGGGCCAGTCGGGCGGGGCGAAATCGCGGCAACCCTGATGCAAAGGCCATTGCGACTCACTGCAGTTGTAGGTGGATGGACAACAGTGCCCTTCGCGTACGATCGGGCTACAGCCTTGAAGAGGTGGCGCACAAGCAAGGGGCACGCATCGTACTGCGCCCATCGCGCAGAAACAATTGTCGCAGGCAGCTTTCCACTCGATGTCACGGACCATTTCACCCTCCTCGTATATTCTCGAACCCACGCGGCACCCTGCGAACCAAGCATTTCTGTTAGTTGACCAATTTAATTAAAAATTTTATTTATAATTTCTG